AAATGAGGGAGAAGAGAAATTTCTTTTCATTCCTCTTCTCTTTTCCCAAAATCTCTAAGCCACTTGAGTGCATATTTTGGATTTTTATCTTTTTATGTTGTAGTTTTGGGGTCTTTGATTAGGGGAAAGCTTGCAGAGGGAACTACAGTTCTCAGCATCAGTTACCCGAAAAACCCATCACATCAGTTTTGCATGCTAATCTGTTGGCAGAAGCATGTCTCTAGACCCAGCATTACAAGAAAACTTCATTTGGACTAGTTGAGGTACCAGAGTTAATTCAGGATAGTACAGTTAGAAAGGAACAACTCTGCAAAAAACACACAGAAGCTAAACCGGTGAGATTATTCCTTCACTAGAAGACTTTCTTACCTGTTCTTTTGGGAAAGATCATTTGCTTTAGTTGTCAGTTTTTCCAATTTTAGCCAAAACCTGGTATTCTTTCACTTCAACTGAAATAAATGTAAGAAATGAAAAAACATTAAAGTTATACTGAAGGCAGAAAAGAGGTAACAGGATGGCTGAAAAGTTGCAGGTTCAGGTATACTGGTGCAGTAGAGGAGGGAAACAACCGCCACGTGTAGGTCTGTGTACCACTAATGCTAATCCTTAAAGGTATTTAGGAGAGTTGTGTGAAGTCAATTTGAAACTCTCTTTGTGCTTGTGGGTTATGGATGCTCTTTTCTTTCTTCATGCCTTTTGAGGAATTGACTGTTAACTTAAGGTTATTGGTCTTGCTTGAGTAAAAAGACATAAAAGTTACATGCACTTAAATTAAAATTGATCTAGCTAGGAATGGGGCAGAGAGCTGGTAGCTGTGTCGTTCCTACATGGTGTCACTTCATAGCACTTCTCGTGTATGAAGTGTTCTCTCGGGTGCTTTGTGTTTCCTGCACACCACTTCTGGAGTTTCATATTCCTTGTAAGCCACATGATTGTGCTTGTTTTCAGTGGATTTCTTCTAAAGTGCTCAGTTGCTGACATCCCATTTTCCCTCTCACCAAATAATGCTTTCACCTCTTGAGTCCTGAGTGGCTGTGCAGGGGCTAGATGTTACCCACACGTTCTTTTTAATTACAATAAACCTTCTATAATATTTTTTCTACTGCCATTTATTACTACCATTTCATAGAAATCACTTTCAGTTGTCTGTAAAGGATGTGAATCAGAAGTGTGTATTTCAAGATGGGGGAAGGGTGGGGAAGACATTGATGAAAAGGGGAGAAATCCCAAAAGGAAATGCTTTTGCAATTCAAGTAATCTTGATGGCAGAGTGGTAAAGATTATGTTAGTGATATCATAGGGGGTGGGGAGCACGAAGCACGATGGAGGCAGGACTTCGGGAGTGAAAGCAATGATGTGATCAGCGGCTCTATTGGGCTTCTTTTATCCTGATTCTGCGAAGTGCTTAAGAGTAAGTGCAAACTTTGGTCAGAGGATGTATACCAGGCTGTGACAGGATCAGGGTATGACTTTGAGTAAACCGTATGAGGCCGTGTGTAATTAAAGTTACGTAAATAATCCCTTGGAAATACGTTTGCCACGCTGAATGTCTCAGATTCCATGCTCCAGCTTGGCTTTCTTACTCATTTTACCTTGTGCTGCCTTGACTTGTTCATTGAAAACAGAAGCTTTTCCCAGCAGGAACTGTTCCTAGGTACGTTTCCACAGCAGCTAACTCATAAGGCATCTGCGTTAAGGGCAGCCCTGGCCATGGCAGGCATCCTCCTGCTGCCGCTTCCCACCGCCTGAGGTTAACAGCAGGTGAGAGAAAGCAGCACTCATTGTGCTTCCCCAAGTCTGGGGTTTTAGAAGCAAACAGGGATTGAGTTCCGGATCTTTCCCATAGCTTATTTAATTTTGGTTTTCTGTTCCCTCTGATGAAGGGAGGGAAAAAAATGAAACCCGTGCAGACTGTGAAGGACTGTTGCCTTGCGTGCAGGTCTGAGATAATCTCGTTGTGTTTGACGTGACGCCAGCGTGACAGGGAGTGAATGCCAAAAAAAAAAAAAAAGCAGAATTAATGGAGAATGCATGTAGTTAAGGCAGAATTAATGGAGAATGCATGTAGTTCTGAATAATTTAAGCTGAAATTTTGATTTTAGTGCCTTATAGGATTTGTTTGCTGGGTGTTGCAAAAGATATTTTCTTCTAATATTTTTAATGGGATTTAAATGTCATTGACCTAGGTGGAGATCCTAATGAAGATCATTAATTTCTTGATGATTTTCGCTCTGTAGTCCCAAATGAAATTGGAATGGTCTTCTGCTGGCTAGTGGCTGGAATTTGATTAGTAAGAGCCTGTCTTTGTCATTCATATTTTAAATTTGAAGTAAACAAGGCAGAAAATAGTAGGGAAGAAGTGTTACCCATTTTTGTACAGGGAGATGAATTACTCCTAGAAGTATCTCTCTCTCTCTTTCTCTCTCTCTCTCTCTTTTTTTTTTTCGTTTCTTTTTTTCTTTTTTTTTTTTTTTTGCCTTTGTTCTCCTTTTAGGACAAAGGCAAGTACACTGCAAGCGCTGCCTCTGTATCATTAGATGGGTGCCATGAGTGGACAAAACATGGCAGAAGGGGGAGATCCAGATTAATGACTTCTGTTAAACAATCCATTTGTAATAACTGCATTACAATTCAGTACCTGCAGTACAATTAGAATTAAAGAGATGCATTCTGCTCTTTCGTTACATATTTTTAATCCACTGAAATACATAGACATGAGGGTGAACCAAGCCCAGAATTTAAGGTACAGTAAATTACTATCCATTCATTTGAGGCATATTTTATAAGCAGAGCTATTTATGGTTTTTTGATTGCGATCAGTGATGACAATAATTACCTTGTGGGAAAAAACATGAACAAATGAATCTGATTATTTTTTTTCACTTGATCCTTGCACAATAGATAGTGGAATGATAAAATTGTTGTGAAACAGCATTGACGCGGTGTGTCAAGCTGTTTTTTTTATTATTATTATTTCATTGCAGATAAACGTCAGCAACGATGTTTGAAACTAGATGACATGCATCATGACATGCCATTTAGCTGCGGAGATATAAGCTGGGGCCAAAGTTTGTTTGGAAAATTGAGGTCCTTGGGAGCAGTAAGAAATAGGAGTTTCTTACAAATAATAGCAGAATTCATTCTGAGTTCCTTAGAGCAGGTCTAAGGTTGTTGCAGAGAAGTCCAAGACTTCATTACCTTGCAAAGCGTGTGCTGAAGTCTGCATGTCTCAAGAATGGTGTATAATTCATAGGCTTTTCCTGGTCACTGTCATATGAGGTCAACCTATCATTAGAAGTTGGACTTGTGCTGTTGGTAATGTGCCGGCTCTTCTTTGACCCCTTTTTGCAGTTAACTATTCAGTCTGGTATGTGATAAGAGCTCTAGCAAAGTAAGATTGAAGTTAGCCTGTTATTTTGTCATTATTATTATCCTGAGCTACATTTAGTAGGTTTTGGGGTGTTGGAAGTGAGAAGCACTCTACCCTTAGAAAAGCTGATCTCACCATTACATGCACGTTTTCTTCATAGAGAAGCAAAATGCAGTCAGTGCCAGAAGGCAGGATGGCTTGTGATGCCAGGGTGGTTTGGGGACCTGGCAGATGCCTTGTTCTCAAAACAAAAGTTCCTCCCTCCCTGCTCAGACATTTGCAGCCCAGTTATTTATGATTAACATCCCACTACGGTCTGTTGCTGCTGCCAAAACAGAAGTTGTAGCTGCCACAGGAGGGTGGTTCCTTCATTGTTATTTTTATTGGTGTTTTTTTTTCTCTCAGTTCCTTGTTTTGGCATTTTTGGCTATTTTCCTCCTCCTAGCAGACTTTCCCCTGCTAGGCTATTTTTTTTTAAATGTTTCTCTTCGCTTTTGTGGGGTTTTACTTTTTCAGGTCTATTCACAGTTCCAGATATTTTCAGATTTAACTTTAGATTCCATGTAATTTTGCAAGTTCCTTCCTCATCAGGCAATGGTGTCTCATGACTTACTTTGAAAATAAACATACTGGGGATTATACTTGTTTTTCAATATTTCCTCCAAATGCTATTTATCTTTCCCCCAAAACATCTGTGTCCAAGCCTTCTGTTTTACGCTCTCAGAATGAAACACTTGCAGAAAACATAGAAAAAAATGTTCAGTGCTTAGGAAGCCAGTTTGGACTTGCCTCCTTGTTTAGCTCTTGAGGTTAAAATTAGGCCCCTTCTTACAAGTCTCAGGAAGTCCTCGTCTAATTGCAAACAGCCAGGCAATCTTCTTTGGAAGTAGAAACTGGGAGATGGATGTAGATGGGACACACACACACACATAAAAGTATCTTAAGCATTTAAAACTCTAAGTGATGTTCTTAAGACAGATTTTAAACCATTAAGTTGCAGTGTTAAAGTGAATTGAAGTGTTGGACTGTAATGTATGCTAGCAATCAAAGGCAGTGTTGCATACAAAGGGCTGTACCAACTTCCAGCTTTATACTGGTGAAGGATTAGTGTAACACCTTCTCAAAGAGCATCAACAGACGGATCCAGACTTAGTTGTAGTCAGTGGAAGGACTTTTTCCTTCATCAGAAAAGTCCTGCAACACCAAATGTCTCAGCTTCTTGTATGTGATGTCTTCCACTCTACCTGAAACACTATGGTCATCCAGCTTATTTTTAAAAACTCAGTAATCAACAATACTCACATTATGAAATGGGAAAGCACTACCACTTCTTGGCATGTTGTTTCAAATTGTCTATTGACCTCATTGTGCTTTAGCAGAAAATTGATTATCTAATTGGCTGTATGATAATCACTTAGACATCTGACCTTATTTCATCCTTCCCCAACATACTAAATTGCTAGGCAATTAGCAAGATTTGAGGCTTTCCATAATCTTTATGACGTCTACACATGCATAAGGATGAGTGTATTTGTCGAAATCAATAAAGAAAAAAACCTTCACATTGCTGAATTTCATGTAAACTTTATTTTTCAGTCATAATGTGTTTTTTTTTCTTTTCCTTTTTTAGGTATTACATAGAAATGGCTTTATGGATTTGGACTCTGAGCATTTTGAGCTGCTTTTGCATCACCTTATCCAGAAATGAGGAACTGAATTTTTTTCAGAGTACCACAGAGCTAAATCACCTAACAGTGGACAATGAGACTGGGATAGTCTATTTGGGAGTGGTAAATGCTCTGTATCAGCTCACAGAAAAACTGATTAAAATTAATCAAGTAGAAACAGGTCCAAGAAAGGACAACAAAAAGTGCACACCTCCCATTGATGAAAATCAATGTAAAGAAGCAGTACTGACTGACAATTACAACAAATTATTGTTGCTGGATAAGGCAGATAAAACAATTGTGGTGTGTGGAAGCCTTTTTAAGGGAATTTGTGCCATCAGGGATTTAGAAGATATTTCCAATGTTAAGTATTATGTGGACAGTAGTGGGGAGAAGTCCTTTGTAGCAAGCAACGATGAGAACGTATCAACGGTGGGATTGATCACTTCCTTGAACAATGACCGAGTGCTGTTTGTTGGGAAGGGGAATGGACCAAATGACAATGGGATCATAATTAGCACTCGGCAGCTCTACAGCAGAGATGGGAAAGACATTTTTGAGATGTATACAGACTCTGCGGCTGTTAAATCAGCATATCACTCATCAAGCACACAACAATTTGTCACAGTCTTTGAGGATAAAAATTATGTTTATTTTATTTTTAATCAACAAGAGAAACAGCCTGTCAATAACCGCACACTAATTGCACGTTTGTGCAAAGATGATGCCCACTATTACTCCTATTTTGAAATGGATTTGGGTTGCAAAGATGATGATGGTGCCTACGATCACTGTCATGCTGCTTACGTCACTAGCCCAGGAGAAGAGCTGGCAGAGAGCATGGCTCAGCAAAGACAAACTACGGATTCTCCCTCAGATGACAAAGTTCTTGTTGCACTCTTCAGCAAAGTAAACAAAGATAACGGCTCTCCAAAATCTGCCATGTGTGTGTTTTCTTTGAGGCACATCAATGACAAAATGGAGAAGAACCGGAATGATTGCTACACTAATAAGAATACCAGCATGTTTTACAAACTCTTTGCAGTAGAAAACCCGTGTGGATCACATGGACTGGTAATATCAGCATCAATGTTAGAATCTGTGATAGGAATAGTGGAAATTATATAACTGTGTGTTTTTTAGATGGCTTTGAGTTAAAGTCTAATGAGATCAAATGACTGAAAACTCAATAGCTGGATTCACTACAGAAATGGAATGTGGTTGGGGTTGTTGTGGAACAAGTCAAGCAAGAAGTGGCAAGATAGTTATAATTTGGAGTCTTTTAAAAAAGAGTTGATGTCTTCTAATAGATGAATATTATTTGGTTTCATGAATGCATTTATTTTTAAATGTTCCTTCTGGTATGGAAATTACTGAATCATATGCAGTGATTTGTTATGCCCATGATCAGCTTCCAGATTGGCAATTTGGTCACAGCCAACGTATCTATAATGTTTTTAAATAGCATTATTAATCCTGTAAGTGATATCTGGAGCTCAATATTATTTCTTACTTGGATAAAAATTTTCAGATAATTGGAAATATGCATTTTTCTTATATTTAGGTGGTTTTCATATGTTTTTCTGGCTCAGACTACACTGATAGCATGATGGCCACCTTCCATTTCTTTTCATGGCTTGTCATTACCTTGGATACGAGGGTTGTGGAGGACACTGTTACACCTCTCAAGATACTGATCTTCATTTTATGACTATGACTTTTAGAGGCAATTTTTCAGCATCTCAGTTGACTTTATGATATTTTTGCCCATACCACTGAACCTGTTTCTAAGCCCCACTTGTGCATGCCATTTGTTGCTGCAGCCAACCCTAAAGTGGGTTGAGGGATTGAATCACCTTAAAAATAATTCAGCTAACTCGTAGAAAGATGTCTTAATTCCCCAGCCTTACACACTTAAGTAAGCAGTTGCTTGAGCGCAGCTTAAGAAGTGCTGTGCTACAGCCCAGGGGTAGGAGTGAACAGCTGAAGGGATGGGGCATGGGAATACTGGGTCAGTACTGGTATTGACCCAGAAGCCTTCATCTCATGAAACCACAGCCCCTTCCACACAGTAAGCCTCTAACACTGATAAGAAACCAAACCAACACTTTTTGCCTTGAATTTCCAGTATTTCTCACTGCTGTACCCTGCTCCTGAGGTGGGCATCAAATATAGAAATTGTGAATGTGACGAGTGTCCCTGGCTTCCAGCAAAAAGGAGTTGTGAATTTCTGGTCAGAAAGGCAGTCTCGTTACCAAATGTAGCAGCAAAGGCAAGGTGTGGATGAACTTCCTTCTGGTAGATCTTCCTGCAGTTTGGGATTGAAGCATATCGAAAAGGGAATGTGTTGAAAGTTCATGAAATGGTTGCCGGTGGGCTGCTTTTCCGTGGAGGACAGCAAATTAAAAAAACAAAACAGCATAAAAACAGTCTTCCAAACAAAATCAGTCAACCTGATCTATATGACATGCTAATTAAACAAAGTGGTTACTTTTTAATCTGTGCTTCCACAACGAAAAAGAAACAAAAAAAAATATTCCCCCTCCATGCCTCCTGGAAAGCAAAGGCATTGAAGCGGTTTGCAATTAGCAGGCTGCTTGTTGGCTTGGGTAAAATGGCCAGGCAATCCATTTCTCTTTCTGCTCTTCTATGTCTGAGGGGTATTATATTGTGGTAATAGGGTTGCACTTCATTCTTAGCTAGGAATTAGTGATCTGAATGTTTAACATCCTTCTGTATTGCTATTCCTTATTAGAATGCAAGCAAAAATTTCCCCTGTGGCTCTGAACACTTACCGTACCTTTTGGGAAGTAAAAATGGTGTTGTAGAGAAGCCGGTGTTACAAAAAGAAGGGATGAATCTCACGGCTGTTACTGTGACTGTGGAGAATGGGCACACCGTGGCGTTTCTGGGAACTTCAGATGGAAAAATTCTTAAGGTAACAAATCTGATTAAAAAAATTAGAGCATGTTGAAAAGGTTGCAAATTGTACTGATAGCATGCTTATGCTCTAAAAGTAAATGTGATCTATAAGATCTTGTATCAGGAGCAAATTCTCTTGGCACTTGGTATTTTTACTTTCAAAGAGAAAAAAACAAAACAAAACAAAACAGGTCATTTCTTGCATACCTCCACTTTCCAACACACAGTTGGAATTAGCATTGCCTGGATAACACTTTTCCCAAAGGTTTAGATATCTACTGGGAGCCCTATATTCATAGCCTTAGGTAATCTAACAGCTGCTCTGGCCTTATCTCTGTTCAAGCCCATGCTAGTTCAAGAGCAACTTTTAATATTACAATCATTCTGGCCATTCAGTAAATAGAATATAGATCATAGAATCACAGAATGGTTTGGGTTGGAAGGGACCTTAAAGACCACCTCGTTCAACCCCTCTGCTGTGGGCAGGGACACCTCCCACCAGACCAGGTCGCCCAAAGAGACGATATAAAGCTAAAGTTGGAGCTCTGGTAGATTCTGACTGTGGGGCTTGTAGTTCAAAGGTCTCTGTGTCTGCAGAGTTAAAATATCAGGACTGTTACACCATGCATGTCATTTTGTTGAAGGGAAGTGATGGCCGTGTGCCACTCTGAGGTTTGTAATTTGAACCTGATACAATTGGTTATTGTAAGGGAGGTCAGCAAATTTGAACACTTTCAAGTGCAGAGGCTCCAAGTCGAGAATTTTAATTTTACAGCACTCAAATAAATCAGTATTTCCAAAAAAATCAATGCAAATATTAGCTATTGTGAGCAGTGAGCAATTTCTTTTCCATTACTTTTCTGCTGTACTTGCTGCTTTTGATGCTAAATACTTCAAATTGAAATGTTTTCTCTGATATGAATTTGTGAACTTGAGTAAACACAGCATTTTCAATAATGATAATTGAAAAAAGAGCAACCTTTACCACCTTTCTTTCTTCCATGAAACAGGTGTTCCTGTCATCCACTGCAACTGAGTACAGCTCTCTTACTATTGAACTAAATAAACCCATAAAGAATGACCTGGTTCTTGACAAAACCCAAGAAAATCTATATGTGATGACTACAGACAAGGTAATGTATCACTCTCTTTTTAAGGACCAGGTCAAGTTTAACTTTCTCTTGACTTTACCTGATATTGGAATGTTTCTCTCTCATTCCTGGAAACCACCCTAAGTCAGTGGGACTGCCCCTGCTCCATGTTTGTGTGTGCACCTTTACAGGCAGAAGGAAAACAGAATATTACGAGTAACTGAAAACGCAGCTGGGGATGGGAGGTGGATGAAAACAGAAGGTGAAGGGATGTTCTCCTTTTACCAGCTTCAGCCTCCCTTTGCTTTGTGCTCCCTCCAGCTGAGGTGAACAGGAGGTATATAGATGGTTGTAAAGCTAAGCAAAGAGGGGTCCTTCATTTTTTAGTGTTGCCAGTTCTTCTGGCGTCAAGGTAGGTCTCTCCAAAAATGAAGACCTTCCTCAAGTCCAGGCTGATGAGCTTAATTGTTTGACTGTTACTTGGAGGGTGGTTTTATCCTTAATGCTTTAATGATTGGGAATAGGAGGTGAGTTCTCCTTTGAAGCTCTCCCACAGGGTCTGGAAGAAGTTGTGATGTTTGGCAACAGAATATTGCAGGGTCAAGCAGCTGCATGTCAGGGAGGATGCTCAAGCTGCCATTGGGCCTTTGCAAGAGCTTTTCAGGATTTGGGATGCTGGTGGCTGACGTAATAGCATTCACACATCTGTAAAGCTGCCAATGGTTTTCATGAGTCTTGCTGTCAAAAATTAAGAAGCAATGGAAAGAATTACAGTGTTGGGAAACACCCTTGTATGCTGGTGCAGCAGGAAAGGTCAGACTGTGCTCCGAAAGGAACAGGCAGTCTCTTCTCAGTTCCCCTTCTCTCAGCTGGCACAATGGAGACTTGTAAAGGCAAAAGGAAAGCAAAAAGGAAAGGAGGAGAAGAGAAAGATGCCAGACTTCTGGCATGGTAGCCTGCTCCTAACACTTCCCTCTGCGGTCACTGGAGCTGTCAGGCTCACACACATGGACCAGCAGTTCTCTGAGATGGGGTGGGTGACAGAGAGACTGCCACCATTCGCAGCACCGACAGGGACACAGGGTGGGACACGGGAAACAGGCCGGTCCCAGTAGCAAGGAGAGAACAATGATGACTGTGACAGTGGAGTACTAGGGAAGATGGTGAGGGAAGTGTGTTCTCTTCCTGTTTCATAAAAGATTAATATAAATTTCTGCAGTGTTAATGCTGCATTCTAGCTGAAGGATTTCAGGCTGGAAGCTCCATTGGAAAACATGCCAGATAAGTGACTGATAAAACATTTAGCAGTGTACAGTGTGTGAGAGAGGTTACTGCACTTTTTTTTTTTTGTGGTAGTTGGTACTTCTAATTTGGCTTCTGCTCAAATTTGGAACAGAACTCCAAGCCTCAAAATTGCCTGTGTGAGGCCAGGCAGCCTGGCACCCTGCATGGCAGGATGATGGCACGTTGCTTCAAAGCCCTGAGGTCCCCACCAGGCTATGCCATGGGCAGCACAAGGATGGGGGCAACCTTGAAGCAAAACAAGTTTTCTGGTGATAGTCTGCGTCAAACGGAGCATTTAGGAAGGTCCCTAATAATTCTGTCTCTGTAAGATGTTTAAATTCAGAAAGCAGCAAATTTCTGCCAAAGAAGGTATTTCAGTTTAATTTTTTCCAAGCAGCTCCCATAGACACATCCATTTCTAAATAATGGGAATAATAGTTTTCTTTTACAAAACCTGTTCAGCTTAAATATGAATAGCTAAAGTTGGGAGCTCTGTCACGGCATTACATTACTGTCATCTCCAGGAGTTAATTACAATGAGCAGTCCCACCCACTTTTAGAGCCAGATAGATGAAAGGAGAATGGAGGCCTTCGTTGCTGGAAGAAATTAAGTGACAGCAGCGAGAAGAGAAGAATAAATGCTGAAATACACACTGCTGTTTTCAGAACAGCTGTGAGTTAAGGGAAGAAATGTACCAGAACCCTGTCCTTGGAGTTCTTTAGAAGAAGGTAAACACTGAAGGGCACAATAGCTGCACTGATCTGCTTCCTTAATACTGACCTGCCAGGCAGATGCAGCACTTGCCTCACAAGTGATGTTGTGATGGGTGATAACTTGAAGCAGCCTTCAAAGAGGAATCAGATGGAGAGAAAATATGGGGAGGTTAAGAATTGTAGTGAGAAGTCAGAGCTTGCTTTCCTGTTTCACTTCTCCTCCAGCATCAATAGCAGTGGGTAGCTTGGAACAGATGCCTTCAGAAGTCAGCCCACTCCTCCCAGAGCTGGGGCAGGCATCAGGAGGAGCCCCTTGAAGCTGGGAAGGACCACACCACCCTTGCCATGCTCACATTAGCTCATTAAAATAAACAGAAGTGATAGGATCTCAAATTCCTTCTGATACATCTCATATCAGGAATAAAACTGAAGCCTGTGACAGCCACCATTCTCACCGGCTTTTCTGCTTGCTTTAGCTTTTACCACTCTCTCTGGCTAAGACCTACTATTAGAAAATCTCCAAAATGAGTTTCTCTGCATTTTGAAGATGACCGTAAGCCGGGCTGCTATTTAAAATCCATTCAGTTTACATAAAACTTGCAGAGACGGCAAGGGGCTTGTTACTGCCTGCCAGAATTATGAAACAAACACTTTGTCATAAAAAAGCCATTCACTGGATATTAAGTTACTCATGAGATTGGTGTTGGTTGGTGAAGCAGTGTGCCAGTAGCTCAACTCCAGTTACATAGCAACCTGAAAAGTACTAAAAAGATAAGCTTAAGTAGTAGTATATGCATGAAAACTACCAAATGTTGACATTTTCCTTAACTGAGTCAGGCTGAACTCTCTGAATGTGAAAGAAGGCCAAATTCAGACTTTCAAAGTAGCTTTGTAGCTGCCAGTAGTAGGTTTAAATGAGAGGATTAAGTAGAAGAAACAAAGCTTACATCTTCTAGTAAGCTTTCTGCAGTCTTCATAAGTGAAGTATAGCCACTGACAGTGCTGGGAAGAGGTATGTCCCCTTGCCCTCTTGCACAATTCAGCAGCACAATTAAAAGAGATGATAATGTGCCAGCTCATTTTTCTGGGCACCAAAGACCAAATTGTTTATTCTCACCCCCCGAGGAAATCAAAACCAGAAGCCGTGTATTTACTGGGGGACTGAGACCTGACGATGCTGCTTCCTGACATAATTATTTCCATTTTCTGTTGTAAATCTATTGCATGGCAGAAGGGTTATGCGTGGAAAAGTGCAGTAACCCTGAGCACCTGGGCTCTCTGAGGCTTTCAAACTTTCTGAAATGCCTTCTGGCTAAAAGTGCCACTTACAGTTACATTTCCAAATGATTTCATCATCATGCTAATGACAGAAAGGGGAGGATATTCTATTTAAAAATGATCTAGCCAGTATCAGGTTAGTCTTTAGAAGGTATATGTCCTGCTGTAGCAGTTTCTTGAATTGGAAGAGCTGCTCATGAAGTGTCTGTTCCGCAGCAACTGCTGTCATGCAGGTTTCTAGAAGTACCTTAACCTGCAGGAGCTGAATAGCTCAGGTTTTTGAGACTTTCTTATTTTTCTTGGTTATGGCAATGATCTACGTTACTTTGAAGAGAGATTAGAGAATATTGGACTGAGAAAGAGAAGGAAACGTGTGTAAATTTAAGCTTCATTTAGTCATGATGGACAGAATAACCAGGCTCCATTTTTGTGTGCATTTTGTTAAAAATCAAACTGTGCTCTAATTATAGTAACACCAGATCAAGCCTTCCACTGGCACAGGCAACATTGTACAACCCTGTCCATAAGCTTTTCAGCCTCCATGTGCCTTTCTTCACATACGTTATGGTTTGTCTTGCTTTTGTCTCCCTAGGTGCATCTCCTTCCCGTACAGGACTGCTTCAAATACTCTGACTGCGAGAAGTGTATGCAGGCAAGGGACCCGTACTGTGGCTGGTGTGTGAGAGAGGGCAGGTGAGTCCTGCATGTGTTCTTCGGGCACAGGCAGTGGAGATGCTCCAAACGTGACCCATGCCTTGCGTTACTGCTTTGCGTAGCGATTCCGTCTCTTTGTACCTCATGGTCCTGATGGGGATTTAATTTTATCACGCAGACGTTGGTATCAATCTTCCACGCACACAAATAAGTCCCTGTTGACTTCTGCAGATTTCATTAGTTTGGGAAAATATATATGCTTCTGCTGGTACTGAAAATCATTATACATCTTGCAACTGCAAGTTTTATGACTCTCTGAACCATCCAGTTAAATATTTTCCCAGAAATTAGGAGTGCTCCCTATTTAAAATCCTAAAAATATAGCATATATTTTAAGTAAAGAAGGAAAATATAAAAAAGAGCATAAAAGAAAAAATTGCTAATGTCTGAAAATAAAGAATATAGATCAAATGCTGTTTTTATATAAATGTCAGCTACTGAGACATGTAGCTGCATTGAGCTCTCACCTAATTGCAGGAGAACAGAAACTGGCATTTGGCTGACTTGTCTGTAGAGGTTATCTGAATTAATATTCAAACACATGTAAACTAGAAAAAATCTGGATGTCTCTTCTTTACACTGTGCATTGATTGGAGTGGTGAGAGGCAAGAGCGGTCTTACAGCTCTCCTTCTGACTACTAAGTTAATTAACCCCTTGGCATGAGCAGTTGGGAATTCATGATTCTAAGTACTTGCTGTTGGAACAAAGGGGCTATTTAATTATAGTATGCAGATGAATTTCAGACTTCGAGCTTCCTGCCTGAAAATGTGAACTATCACATTAAGTTACCTAACAGCCTGATGTGGAGCATAATGTAAAGCACTGCAAAGAAACTTATGCGTTGCATACAGTTTTATGCAATATACTGTACCTCTTCAAGCCTGGGCTTCAGCTTCAGTGGATGAAACCTGAGGATTTTGAATATACAACTCGAACTCCTCCTGGGCTACTGGGAGTTGAAGGCCGTGTCATATATCATACAAAAGGCAATTTTCCCTAGATTTCCCTTCAGGTTTCTGATATGACCGCTGACCTCAATAACTTGAAGTATTAATGATCTTTGAGAACAGGCAAACATGAATTTTTGCATTTGGTAGTATTTCTTCTAACAGAAAAAGAAAGAGAAGTGCATAATTTCTAGTGTTTTTCTTACCTGCACCAAGTTCTGTCTCGTGAAGGCATGCAGTGCTTAATTGTGTGTTTAGGGACACATATGAATGCAGACTTCGTACGTAAATGATATCCTTAGGGTAGGGCAGGCAGAACGGTGCAGCAACTGTGCTGTACTGAAGCCCCTGATGAGTTAATAGACTTGTGTTACAGCAGATAGAGATACTACAGAGTTTTCTCCCAAGCATTGAACAGGATGAAAAGAATATGTATGAGATCCCCCTGACCCTTTGTCGGGCTTTCAGTAGCCACATGTGCAGCTTCTGTCCTGCAGTATCTCTCCTTTCAATTCTTCCTGCAGGGGAGCTGGGAGAATCTCCCAGTACTTTTGGTGAGGCTGCACAGCCACTGTTGTCTTCCTGCAATGGTAAGAGTGCCCAGGCAGAAAGAGATCTTAACTAGTGGCAGGAGTCAATAAAACCATTCACCAGGAGAACAGCATTTCCCTGTGCACTCCCAGCAATACTTCTCTGTTGCATTTCTACCCTCATGAGTCAGATGTCTTCTTACTGCTAACACACAGGTGTCATCCACTTAGCCTACAGAAAAAAAAAAAGGCTGTGCCCACTCCTCCAGGAGTTTGTTATGTATTAAAATGAAGATTAATCAGCCTACTTTCAGAAGATCAGGCAATGGCTCCATTCTCCTTTTGATGCTACATAAAATATGAGTGCATGTCTATAGGTTTGAGTTGTCTAATCCTAGGTGGTGTGCAACATATATGTAAGTTTCTTCATTTGCTTTTTACATCTCAAACCTGGTCAATACTTCATCAATTATTCCTTCAAAAGTCCTCTGATAACGACCTGAATAGTTAATATTAAAGAAAATTTCCAGTCATCTTATGTTGTAATTTTAGTCTTTCATCCCAGAATTGTTGCATTGTTCACAGAACTCAGAGTTCAGCTATAATACTGGTTTGCTTTCGTTTTTGTTCCTATTTTGTCAGGTGCACAAAGAGAGCAGACTGTGAAACAGCTGATAAGGAGAACCACTGGCTCTGGAGTCCAAGTGGCACATGCGTTACTATCATTAGTGCAGACCCTCGAAACATGAGTCGCAGAGCCCCTGCTACGGTATGACAGGAAAATGCTTTCCCTGCTTGTTCTTAAAACATGCTGATGTGACTACCAGACAAAGGAATATCTGCATTTCTTTATGCATGGTGGTGACAGGAACTATAAAGTGTTTTGGGTATCTCAGCCTTTGGTGTTTTTCACACTGCTCTTCTTGCGGGATGCAGTTCATGTTTTCTCCTAAGAAATGCTCTTTTCACCTTCTCTGTAAACCACAGTGCTGCATTAGTGTGGATGACAAAGCACTTAGAGTGAATATTATGAAAGTGTTGCACAATATTGTATAGCCCATAAAAGCTAATTGATAGGGGAGATTTCATGCTGCCCTTGCATCCTCTTTCAGCTTACCTGAGCATAAACTTAAGTAAGTAGCAAAGTCATAAGCTGTTTCTTTAAAATCAGCAGTGGAATTGCCTACACGGCAAAGTTTGCTTGCATATATGGAGGAGGTAAATTCAGCATGCAAGGCTGCTCTGCAGCAACAAAACTGAGCGTCTGGAGTGTGACCAAGGTGTCAGAGCTTGCTCTGACTCCAAATGGAGCATGCCAATGAAGACTGAGGACTTCCTGGTGGTGCTCAGCAAGTAAAATCAGGTTAATTTTGAGTAAAGTAGCTAAATGACTTTTGATCCTTCTTAGTCAGAAAGAGATGTTAATTCAAATCAGTTTAATTTCATTCATAAATGATGTAAACAGCATTCTGTTAAGGCCATCTCTGTGTTGAATAAAAATGCTAGTAGAATGTAAATAGCCCACTTAAAATCCACACCTCTTCTTAGTTCAGATCTTGTCAACTTGTGTTGACAAGTCTTTGGTGCCTCATATCAGAATATCAAGTAATATCAAAATATCTAAACAACAAAAACAAGCCCAACTTCAAATGAGCATCTGCATGCAACCTTCAATATTACCAGTGTCGCCTTCTTCTTGTGATTACTTTACTCACCAAAAAACATTGCAGCTCATGAGACAGTGGACCAGTTTCAGTGGAAAAAGAATGATTACTATTTCTTTTCATACAAAATGGAAAAAGTTAAACTGTATAATAAACACACCAGAAATATCACATCAAAGAAGGCATCCAAAACTTCATTTTTTTCCTCTTCACTTGCTAAGTTTTCCCTTTCTTGTTTTTTGTTTGTTTGCTTGTTTGTTTTCTTTTAGTTTCTGACATGTACACTGTACTGATAATTTCCTTGAAAAAATTAAGATCTCACCATCACTCTCCCAGAAATTCTTTTTTGGTAGTAATGATAGATATCAAGGTTTGTGGGGTTTTGATGTTGTCTTTTTTCATGTACATTCAGTCTAGTGAAAGCCATTTTTCTACTCAGCCCTTTCAAACTCCAGCTTTTCCAGCCTATCCAGCCTTGGTTTCGTTGTTGACTAATAACACCTACAGTTAATGTAATTTTAATTAAGTTCTTCAAGTTTTAAGTGTTAACTGCTCTCTTTACTCTTGCTTAACATGGATGCTGTGTACAAGAACAAAAAGCTGTGGGTGTATCTGTACAGATATTTTTGTCCTGATCTAGTGCACTGACAGGACAAGAGGTGTTTGTGACAGTTTAATTCAACATAGACCCATCTGGAAAGTGGTAGAAAGATAAGAAGAAAAGATTAGTAGTTGGCAACAAATTAAAATTGAAAACGAGAACAGTCATCTATGGTACTAGCCAAAATATCACCTTTGATTGGGGAAAAAAAAAAAAAAAAAAAAAAAAAGGAAGAAGAAAAAAAAAAAAACCACTGAAAATTCTCTGGCCATAAATCTTACTGGGCATTGGTTAATTTCTTTCAAACATTTTACCTTTTTTATATATTGTTTGCAGGTGAAACTGACTGTGAGTCCACTGCCAGCTTTGAACAGCGATGACCAGCTTTTGTGTACATTTGGTGACACAACCCATCCTGCTCAATTAAATGAAGGGGTTATTAGCTGTGGTCCGCCTAAAGTAATTCCTCCAACTCCAGAAGGTCAAGGTAAAGAAATTGTGCTACCTGTTGTTTATAATAAAAGGAAGGAACACAAACCCCTGTTTCTAGTGTGATGCTTTTATATGAACTGCATGCACATTTTTTTCTTCTTCCTGTCCTTTGCCTCAGATAGCCTATTGTTGATCTTTGTCCAGTCAAACATTAATTTGAAAAAAAAAAAAAAAAAAAAAGTTTTACTCAAACTTTTTGCATTGCTGTTTTCACAAGTTGTACCAATCTCCAGTGTTTGTATCGGGATAAGAGGTGCAGTGTCCCAGACAAGCAAAATCCAACTACTCTAATCTTAATCTAATCACCCCATGTTGTGAAGCTGCAAGAGCAGCATATGCACAAGTTTTCTTGTCTTAGTTTTGCTCACGTAGTTCAGTGGCTTGTTTTCTGGTCCATGTCACAAGGTCGTCCTTTCTGTTATAAAACCTTCTGCCACTTCTACTATGTGCCCTCCAGCTTCTGTAATAGTATGACCAGTGGAAAAATATGCGATCGTATAATTAAAGGCTGTATCATTGTTCTGAACCACTGATTATACACTTAAGGTCTGTTGCCAACCATAATTCTTGTGCTGTTTCCTAGATGGTGCTTTATTTGTGCCTTAAGTCCATATATCTTGATACATAAACACATGGGATAAAACCGGTGACACAGCACAGATTATGTGGTCAAATTTAAACAGACAACAGAAGAAGTGTTCTTGCATCCTGTATAGTGGCAGTCCCTGTGGATAGCCTTCTTATATGTACCAAACCTTCCCTGAAGTGTCAGAGTGGTACTTGGAAGCACTTCTTAAGACAAGCTTTGATTCTTTTAAGCAGGTCAAAATCCAGTTTTAGTTGTGCAAAGAGCAATGATGTTAAAATCTCTCTTAAGTTTTAAAATAGCTGGGGTGTGTCAAGGTATCAGACTGTGCAAAGTGTTAAAACAGCACTCCTTTACTTAGGGCCAATTCACATTCCCTAAATATTTTGAAAAGTAACACATAGAGAGACTAAGTTGATAAATATGACAGCTTGACATCTTCCAGCATAAAATGTAAGACTAGAAACCTGTCGGGAATGGCATTAGAGTAACCAAGTCACCTAGAAATACTGCACCTCCCTGAGTTTGTCCCACAGGGATCCATCTGAAAGAATGTTCAAAAATAATATCAAGATGTTCAAAAGCTTGGCAGACACTTCAGCAGAAGGCAGACAGTTATTAACGCAGGCAGTGGTTCCTGACAGCATGTGACAAAAAGTCCAGAGCTGACCACTTACTGCTAAAAAACCCTGTTGAGTTTAGAATAACCCAAGTTACTGGAGTCACGGTCAGTTCCAAAAGGAATGTGATATTTCTAGAGAAGAGGGATGCTTTTTTCCTGTCCCATTTTTAGGAAATCCCCTGGCATTTCTACCAATACAGAATATTTAACGGGAGCCAGTGCAGGCAAAAGTGACTTCCAGTCATGCTGCTCATGGTCTTCAAGAACCTGTTAAAGGAAAGCAGAGTTTGAAGTTGCCCAATAGCTTGTGAAATAGCTTGTCACAAGGGCTTAATGATTTCTGCAAAAGGTATTTCAAACAGCTTCACTGAAGAAAGCACCAGTTTCTAAAGATAAATTTTCCACTCTCAGCTCAGTAATGATCCAGATAAGTACATTTGTGGGGAAATTGCGTATGGCAAACTGAAGATCACAAGTGACTGTGGTAACTTAGCATTGCAAGCATTGTTGGGCATTAACTGCAAGGACCACTTGTTTCAATTCACATGACAATGACAGTTTTAATCCACAAATGAAACAAGTAATTTTACATGAAGACATATTCATATCTAAGAGAATCTTTGACTGTTCTCGTGCCAGTTTTCATCTGTGTTCAATTACCTTCTTACTCAGTTTTCCTTATGCTTTTAGACTCTTTAATATTCTAGCATGATGATAGTACCACTAACACTTCCATAAAGAAAAACTATTCTGTAATTTTGCTTCTTCCATTTATCCCATCTCTGCTCTTCTTCTGAAAACCATTTGCTGAAAAATTTTAGAGGTTAAAAAGACAAAGCAGGGCTCATAAATCTAAAGTATAACAGGTCATGAGATCCAGAGTGTCAACTGTGTAGTTAAATATTTGCCTGTCTTATAAAATAATAAAAGTATTATTATTGTATCATTCTGCTCAAGAGGTAAAGAATTCAACAACCACTTAGATAACTTTTTTTCTTTCTCTTTTGTGATAGATCATGTTTCAGTTCCATTACGGTTAACCTTTAGAGAGAAAGAAATATTTTTTGCATCACATACTTACCCTTTTTATGACTGTGAAGAAGCAATGAATCTCTATGAAAACCAGCCGTAAGTATTTCAGTTTCCTAACTGAGGTGTTTAGATTCTGTGGCATGGTGTTTCAGGTAACTGGCAGCCGAGTTACTGAATCATTTCATATTTAAGCCCTTTTCCAGTGGCTCAATTCATTTTTCTCACACTTTAACGGATTTTAAAAATGGTTGAAGCTGATAACGTAAGACATTTAGAATGTGAATATTCATGGCACATACAATTAAAGGCGAGTTCATTGGGTTTCCATCTTTGGTAGTATCTAAAGTATCTGCAGGTGAGCTCTGTGGACATCCATTTACTAAGTGTTGCCAGAAATGCTAGCTTGGAGCTTTGGGTTACGGTGCATTCAAATATGATGGTCAAAGCTGACTCTGCCACCGGCATCTTCCCCACTTGAGATGTTACTGCCCCAGGACAAACAGCCAACTCAAACCCTGCATTATTCAACCTGACGTATGAAGGTTGACCTAGATCACTTTCTTTCATCTTGGACCCAGTCTCAAAGTTTGTGAGAGGTGCCATGGTTTTCTGATCCTTGCTTATGTTTGAGAAAAATGTAGCTTTGGGGGGTTCTCAAACTGTTCCTACTATTTGATTTTCGGCTTAATATAGTAAGGACTCTGTAGCAGATTGATCTACTCTCCATGAATAAAGATGGAATTTAATTTACTTTTTTTGTCAGTGGGGGAAGAAGCCTGACAGTTTGTCATGACTATCATGTTATATTTGTAGATGCTATTCCTGTGCAAGCAATAGATGGAATTGCCAGTGGGACTGGAAGAGACATATCTGTGAAGAGTCCTCTTCAACAGAGGATGTGATCAAACAAAATATGGTAATGTTTAAAAATAAAATTTATTAGGTTTTTATTAGAAAACTTCAATATTTTTTCTGCTTTATTTCTCATATCCGTTGGTTGAGTTGGGGATTTTTAAATGATTCTAAAGTTAACTCCAGAAGTGTGAGATTTTTTTTAGTGACAGTGCGGGGGTGGGAATTTAAGGGTGTGATTGAGGAGGGGCAGTGAGATTGAATAACTCCTGAAAGGATATTTTTGTTCCTTTTACTATTTTGCTTCAATGGGAGGAACAGGATTTCAAGGCTGGGAAAGATAATCACCCACAGCTTTGACATATGCTGTAGTCATTTTTAGCATGTCTAATTTGAAAGGGTGTAATCAAATCTGTCACTGTATTTTAAGCATGAAGTTCTTTAGAACAATCATTCCATTGTCCGAAGGCCATCGGAGCTTGTTGTGATAAGACTTTTATTCTGAATAACGTGTAAAATGTTTATCTCCCCAGGAGGAAGAATGCCCACAGTTTCTAAACCCTAGCCCTCCAATAATACCCATGGAATACCGAACAACAGTGTATTTTGAGGGAAAACATCTAGATTATTATCTGGTAAGTAGATAAATTCAAAGCTAGCTGTCACTTGAATTCCACTTCTCCAGCCACACCCACTCTTAAGGCATTAGTTTCTGTGTTCCCGAGTGATTTTGCTCATAGTTCTTCTTAAAGAAGGAAAGGAGCTACACATTTAAGTTTGATATCGGATTGGTTACTGTGATAGGGTCTCTAAATGTGAAGTCATCACAAAGACAGATCAGAACTGGGCAAAACACTGTAACTGCTAGGGGATTTTTGTTTTAAAGAATGTAAGGTGGACCTCCTCAAACACCTTAAAAATTATTCTTCAGCTATCAAAAGGAGAGGATATTTAGAAAGTCTGAACGTTAAATATCTCTTTCTACTCTTTCTATTTAAATACTTACTTTTTGATAATTCATATATTAAGCACATAATTCAGTGTGCTTTCCAGTGCTCTTTCCACTTTTCTAGCAAAAAAAAAATGCACTCAGAAATTACATGCTTTTAGTTTGGGTAAAATCACATTTTGTTCTTTTTTTTTTTTCTCTTTAAACCATCAAACCAAAAGATCAGGTATTTTCCCAGTTGTAGCAAAGGTTTCTGTTTCTCGGTACCTGCTTCCAGAAGGTCATTTACAAGGCTTCTAACAAGTGAGAATTTGACTCCAAGTTTTTAATTGTTTTAACACCTGAACATTGCATAAATGTTAGTTTAGGTGATAAAAACAAAGCTTAAAAAAAACTTCTTTAGGTGATAGCTTGAGTATAGTTCTTGGTTTCTGCTGTTTGTTTCTGTGTTGTCTTCATGTAAGTACAAATTAATGATAGATATGCTGGATTGTATTGATTGCTTAAGCCACCAGCCGTCTATCAATTGAACAAAGATTCATGATTTTTGAAGTTTCTTTTTCCCTTGTCAAAGGGAAATTCCCTTGAAGTATTTTAACTCTTAAAGGCTTTCTATCACCTCTTCTTCTATGACTGCCAAGAGAAATAAAAGGGTAAACAGGACTGGAGTATTACAACAATATAAGAAGAAGCATGGTCAAAAAAGGCTAAAAAGAAACACATACATACTGCAGTCATATCAAAAGCATACTGTGCATGTGGTGCTAAACAAGCATATGTTCAAAAATAAATATTTTTGCTTGAAGACATATAAATATATGTTTAAAAAAAAAATGGTGATTTTTATCAGTTTTCTGTGATGTCCAGGACTAGCAGGACATCTGGCTGGGTGAACGAGTCTGGTCTGACTTACACTGTGTGCAAGATGCAGCACACAACACTTAGCTGCAGGATTTATATTGAAAATGGAAGCTTATTATGGAGAATTCACTCCAGTTTCTTTGTCTTAGCATTGTGGAGAGCTGACAAACTGGTTTCTACACTAGAGGGAAAAGCTTTCCCTGCTCTCTTGATCTAAGTAGAAGAGCACATTCTATCTTGAGAACAAGCTCAGGGCAGATGCATTATCTAGATGTGCCGAATTTGCCTTTTAGAGGACTCTTTTTCTTAAAGAAGGAGAAACAGCAGAAGGAACCCACAAAGCTAATCTCATTTGTCTAGTTTATCATCTGTGAACAAGCACTTCAATCTTTCTGAACTACTAGTAGATAAAAGAGAAAGAAAATGCCTCTGTCCTTTTTTTCAGAGGTATCAATTACATATAACAAAGCCAGAGACATATTGAGGATTTGAATGCTTTGTCACAGGATAGCAACATCTAACAGTTTTCCTACCAACCAGACCAGTATGCGTTTATTTAACTGGAACCCAGGGAGGCTTACATGGAATTCAGGTGTCTGTAAGAAGTTAGATGGATGGCCCTAGGCTGGAAAGACACTGGAGAGAAATGAGTGTCTAGTGATGTCAGAATAATTTTTCTTAGGTGAGAGCCAAGTGGAAACAACATCTCTATCATGGGAGCAGCCCCATGTATCCTGGTACAGAGGTACATTTTTACAACAAAATAGTAATGCCTTCAGTGCCAGGACTTGAACAGGCACACACAGTGTCTACAGCTGTATGCACAGACCTCTAAGGATATGTGAAAACAGATAAATTAAATAGTTGTAATTATACAGGCAGTCGTTCTGATGTTATCAAACTATCTGAAGCAATAATTTGAATTACTGAAAGTACACTTGAGTAATGGGATAACCTACACCCAGTGTTCAATAAACCTCTCATGGAGGGCAGGGTGGCTCAGAAGAGTATGGACAGATCTTTTATAGGGGTTGGCACGCAGCCCACATGCAAAATAGGACGTGGCTTCTCACGTGGGTGATTTTGCCACAGGACATCTTGGGCATTATAATGTATGGAGGTAGCAGTTGTGCAGCCATGAGCACATTTAAGGTCTTTGTCGATTAGGACATTGGTATATATCAGGTTTCCTCCTATTGTCCTTGCCTTTGTTGTTGCTTAGGAAAAGGTGATCAGCAAAAAATGAATGTTCTGTTGTTACTTTGAATTACTAGCTCTATTATCTTAGCTTAAGCTGTGCTTTGTTTAAAAGAGCATGCACAGCCTTCCTAACCATGGGTAAGCACACTAGCCAGCATCATGCATGTGAGCATCTCTACTTGTAAATGAAGATTAGCCTTTAAAGTTTTGTCTTATCCCATTGAGTAGGTTATGTGAATAGCTTCTGAAACTGCTATTGCAGCACTCAAGTTTAAAGAATAAGTTCACAATTTTTATATACACCTCTTAACTTGTGAACACTTACAGTACAATAAATAAATCTCGTTGTGAGAGCCTTTGCTGGAGGCAAATAGACTAAAAGAGGAGAAGCTGTTGACTGTTTTTCTGACCTTCCTTCCTCTAAAAGAATTTGACTAGGAAGCAGCAGTAAATCCAAAATGTCATTGTTCTCTTGAGAATAGCCACATCCAGAACAAGCAGCTGAGGGGCACTGAAGGAAAGTTTAATATTGATCAGTTGTATTGCGTGCAAGAGACATTCTCCAGCTAAGTCCTTGAAAGACCGGCACAGTAGAAGATACAGATATACCAGCATCAAGATCACCTTGATAGCTCTCGAAGATTTTAGTTAGAAGTAACTTCCCATTTAGATTTGTCTTTGCCATGCATGTCATATGTATAACCTGCTTCTCAATGTTTGCTGCATGTCTCTTCTAGCACCCAGGCTGCTGGGTGCCGTGGCCTCCTGCTAGAGAGCCTAGCATTGCAGCTCTTGTCTGCCATTCACTCCAGGTGGCAGCCATCACTCACATCGAAGGCCCCCTCTTCTTCCAACATGGTCTGCTAATGATAAGCACGTGGGAGAGCTTCACACTGCAGCAGCAGAATTTGAACACTTTTTAAAATATAAGATATATTGAAATGTAGAATAGGGAAAGTAAAGCAGTGTTCTTCAAAAAAAAAGATTTGTAAGGTGCTTTAAAACTTGGATGGATACATTTTCTGTAAAACAGAAAATGCAGAAAGGGCTTTTGAGAGCACAGCAGCTCATTTTCTGTATGCAGCTTCTGAGGAGGAAGAAGTAAATTGTCCGTTTCCCTCTGTAACATAAACGTCTGAGAGACTGGAGTCAGGTCCTCTGCCGGGTTAAGTGCATGCTTTTCCTCAGCCCCAAACCTTGGTGGGCTCTGGTGTCCAGAATGAAGGGACAATAAGAAAGGTTTACATTGCACTAATTAGATAAACCAGGTCTGTGAGTTACCAGCGATGTCAGCATTAAAGTAGCTACAAATAAACAGGATAAGGTCTACTTCCCTCATACATGAGGTTATACTTTCTGACCCTCCGAGCAGGAAGGAGAAAGCAAGTTAACAAAAATACAAAAATTTTTTTTCTGTTTGCTCTGAGATTCTAGTGGTTTGTGTTGAAAGCAGGGCCTAGAAAGCTTTTAAGGTGAAGGTGGTCATGTAGCCCCGTGGACTCTGCTTTCTTCAGTCTTTACCAGCAATACTGTCTAATACTGTCCTTGCCACCTGTTTCTTCCTCTGGGTCTTCTAGCAAAACTATTTGGGCAGCTGTTCTGTGGGCCAGGATGGGAACAAACCCAGCACAGAAACAGTGTCATGGGTTTTGCTTTCTAGCTAGCTCGGGCCCTTGATCGAGAAGAGGCATGCTGAGAGTTGTGCCAGTACTGTGCAAGTTACTGTGTGCTACAACCTAGTGGCAAGAATGAATGGATTTGGGACACAGGGAGAAGAGAGGGGAAGAAGGGTTGTAGGAGGCAGAAATACCCTTAAGCTGGTGCTGCCATCGAAGACTGTCTTGTGAAAACACAGCTGGAGTCTTGGTGAAGCAGGAAAAACAAAGCCAGCAAGGTCCGAGAGATGCTCATTCTTTTCTCCCATGTAATTCTTGCACTCCTGCTCTGCCCAGAATCCCCACAGAGAAAACCTTAAAGGGCAGAACTCACGCAGTTCTGCTAATGACACATCTGATGTGTGAAGCCATCCAGCTTTCACGTGTCTTGGCTTTTCCTTAGTGCTCCCTGAAAGCAAGTGCTAGATGTGTTCTTGCTTTATTCGTGCTACGTGGGTGCTTGCACCTTAAGGGAATGTTGGAGGGGTGCAGCAAAGCAGCAGATTGCGCTGGCTGGATGTTTCACCAGCTTTGTTTTCAGGTGACGACTTTAACTGGTTAGCCTTCTCCATTTGATCTTATTACTTCCAGTGCTGAACAGCATATTGCCTGGTGATGTTTTATTGCACTTGATAATGCTGTAAAAATTCTAAGCTGAACTCCTCTCTTCCACAGGGTAAAAAATTTGTGGTTGGAAACAGACAATTTGAATTCGAAACTCCTGTTGTTGAATCAGCAGATGGAAATTTTTCGTTCATGACTAAAGAGGTAAATGCAAAAATACGGTCCACTTACCAAATATATTCTGTTCTTATAGTCCTGTTCCAGTATACATCTGTGTCTGGAAATATGTTGTACTGGTTTCACTCAGAGAAGAAAGTCATCTCTGGTGGAGATTCTCCATTGGTGGTAGCAGTCAAAGGCAGGAGCTTTGGCTCAGTTTTCCTAATGTCTCTTCTTAAGCCTCTGGATCTTTATCCTACTTTTTACCTATGCAATCCATGGATTCATTGAACTGTCCCTGGATGAATATGGGACCATCACTCTATTCTCCACTTCTTATGCAATCCGTTGAAATCATTGAGGGTGAAAGATGAGCATTTCAGAGTTCTCCCTCTCTACACACCAATTAATTATCTTTCGAATTGCTTATTTTTTACACCTATAAAAATGGGAATGGTAACTGTATGTTGTTTGGCTACTTACTAGTTGTGCATCTTTCACTCTGGTTTCTCTCTTTACAGAGAAAGGAAATACTATTCAAAAAAAAAAGCCTACCATGTTCAAAGTTAAACTCAGAAATGTTATGCTGACTTTAACCTTTATGTCGTATCAGCTTGCTAAGAGAGTGGTTTTGAGAACTAATTAACATTTATGCAGCATTTGAGTCTAGCACAAATAATTTCCTTTATAAAGCCAGTATATTTTCCTTTGCCGTTTTTCTTTGCCACCTGTTGTTATTGCTGCTGTCTTTCCACCTGAGCAGAAGCCCATGTCTTGGAGCAAGTAAACCTTTGGCTGTAATGAGGGGGCTGCACTGCAAAAGATGCAAGAGATTTCCCCTCTGTGTGGTGTGAGCCTGCCACGGCCACAGAAATAATGGGGCCAGATGGTGTGGGAAGGGAGAACTCAGCAGGGTCAGCAGCTATTTACTGACACTGAACAGTACCCTAGCTGCTTGGATACTTATAACCAAACGTAAATTAAATTAATGAAAAATAGGTATTCAGATATTGCTCTCCTGTGGTACTTGAAAATTCTGATTGTGAAGGATTAGATTCATTAAAACATTTTTTTTCTATAAATACATTTGGCCAAGGTGAAAAAAAGAACATACGGTTTTGGATAGTTTCTGAAATCTTCACAGCTTTGATTACAGAGTATCATGGAAGGTAAGAAATACACCTTGCAAAATTAATATCTCCATTGTGTTGTCTTTTTCAGTTCTCCTATAGCGCAAATGAAACCGTACAACTTAATTTATCCATAACAACAAGCAAAGTCAAGATTGACAGCAAACTGATGGGTAAGTACAAAATACGGAAGTAAAGAGAGCTTAATTACAGTAAACAGAAATCTATTTATAATTTTGGAGCCATGGATAAGAATGTTACCTTTCTAGGTTTTGCTGGTTTTGTTGAAACAATCAAAGCTGACAGATCAAAAGTTATCAATACTAAACTCACACCAGTGTTTTATGTATTTAAGGCTGTTTTCAAGATGTTGCCAGTATTTTCAAGTTGGACTTTTCTCTGAAAGGCAATATTAATAGCAAATCTTCACAGTTCAAGCATACTTCAGCAGTTAGGTTTTTAAATGGTCATTTTCCTCCCACACTCTCTAAAATGAACTTGCTCCCTCTGATAGCAGAAAAGTGATTTTTCTTACTGCCACTCGTCTGGACTTCACCTCAAGTCTGCACTTTCAGCTGTCTCAGCTCCTAAGTGGCAGCTTCGGCAGTCTTTGTTTCTGCTGGCAGTCAGCAATACACTGTGTGCTTCCATCTCATTACTTTATTCATTTATTTCTATGGCAACAAAAAGTATATTTAGTATATAGCACAAATAAAGACTTGGACTCTGATATAGATCGCTTATTTATTTATTTTTACTTCTTTCAACCTACAACAATGAAGCAGTTATGTCTGTGGGTCTAGTCCAGTGCTGAGCTGAGAAAGCTCCATAAAATCAGTGGAGCAGTTCTGGGAACTGGGACCTGCCTGGCACTTCTTTGGGCTGATGTTTAAGGCACAATCTTGGAAAAACAGCAAAGCAACACACTTACTACTTGTGTGATGAGTCAACATCAGAAAAACTAATACTGCCCCAATGTAAATTCCCCTACAGATTAAATCTTCAGACTGTATTTTTCCATCTGTACAATACTTAAATTGATCCCATGTCACACTGGCAGCACAGAAGTATGTTTTCAGAAGATTTTCCCTGTGGCTTTTTTTGCAGTGATGGAAGCACTTAAAAGAGGACCTGGCATGCATGTTATGGGGAGGTCATATTGTAGTCTCACAGTGTCTTCATTTCCATTTTAAAAGCTGCGGTGTTTAAAATTACAAAATTTTGACCAAATGTTCCCACCATCTTTTTCCCAGTCTGGGGGAAAAATAGAAAAAAAAGTAGTAGCTAAATTATTAAAGAAAGGTTATCATTTGAATCAAAACATAGAACCCTTGCAAGAGGGGAATTGAAAAATTATCAACAAGTGTCTCATCTCTTTTTATTATAAAAGACTTTTTTAAATCTAACTTCTTTCCTGCTTTAAAATTTCCTTGCCATATGAAATCCAGAGCACAGTGGTTTTTATGCATCTTGAAAAGAATTGACTTTGGGTATATGGTTGCTGCTCAGAAGCACCTTTGAACTTGCCAGTCAAAGAACCCATTCTTTCTATGACACTTAGCGAATACTAAGTTACGACGGTGCTTTTACATCTTGAGCCATCAGGGGTGCTGAACGGTATGACATCCAATGTATCCCTTTTATCCTTTGTCCTTTTTATCAATGATTGCACAGCTGGCGTCTCAAGGTGATGGATAAGAGTCTGAATCTAATGAGTGGCTTGCTGCTGGTACATTTAATGAGCTGATCAGTGAACAAGGGGAGTGTTTAATGCTTTAAGGCTGTAGCTTTCTCTGCAATGGGATGTGAGGGACACCGAGACGTGGCAGCACGAGCATTGTTTATGGAGGGATGGGATGAAAATCTGTCTCCAGCCAATGAAGTACAACAAAGCGATGCAGTAGGCATGCTCCTGTGCATGGTCATGTTTGCTAGGTGGTCATGTGGCCGTGTGGGTGGGCAATGCAGGCTTTAGGAAGGCAAAGAGAAGAAGGAAGGTTTTGTTTAACCATATTGCCAGTCCAGGTTGCTGTGCAGTAGCAGTCTGAGTGCTGGATTAAGGAAGCAAACTGGTGCATGGGCATGAGGAAACTCTTCCTTGCTACAGCCTGTGCCATCTCTCCTGTCAATACAACCAAACTGATGTACCCAGGCTGTCTCACACTTTTCCCCACCGCCACATTCATATCCAACACCCAGACTGAAGAGTCAACTCACAAACTATTGGCTTATGTTTGTTAACTCGGCGACTTCCATGCTGATGCACTCAGTATATGGAGAAAATGATGTTACTCCTACTTTGTGCTCATTGATTCCTTGTAAATTTAAGAGAGGAACTGAACCAAATGCATGTTTTTTCTTATTGATTTATTGATACTAACGCCAAAGTCTCTCAGCTTTGCGTGCACCTCCAATGATAGCTTGTCTGAATGTGTCCTGGCAAAGCTGCTTGATAGCAAATGGATATGCTGACTAGATGTAAGAAGAGTTAAAAGCAGTCTTCAGTGTTGCATTAATTCTTCAGTGTAAGGGAGGGAATAAAATCATGCTATTCTACTAAAGGCTGTAACTGTGAAACTGAATGCAAGGTTTTTAAATATGCAACATTTAGAGAAAAACTGCCCTTATGGGGTTGTATGCTCTCATGCAAAAGGCAGAAAGGCTGTAGTGAAATTTTGGGCATCTGTAATAATTGTTCAGAGCTAGCAGGGGAATAAGGGCACTGCTGGAAAATAATGGAAAACCAGCATTACCTTTTTACTTTTTCATTTCAGTAGGAATTTGACATGGCAGCCTCTTAGAATTAGATTTTAAAAGCTGCTTCTGCTGCTATTATCTAGGATATCACGTGCATTGAAATGTTAGGGGCTGGAGGGTGGTTTTGCTGGTGTCCTTCCTAGAGTCCTACTCCTCTGAGAATAAAAGCTTTCTTTAAATAGACATTTTTTCTGGCCTTTACCACATGCAATCTCAAAGGGATTACCCTGGTCTCTTACCCACCTCTGGTCACCTCCGTTTTTGTCAGTTTGCTTACTGCATCCTTAAGGATGAACCTCCTTGGGGAAAAAACAATGTCACTAAGGGTACCGTTTCTTGAGGCTTAATGAGCTAAAACAGTTAATGGCTACTGGAAAGGGGAGATGTTGATTCTCTGTCGTGTACTCCCCACTCCCATCTGTGAGCACATTTAACACTTGAAAGAGCACAGGAGGAAACCTGGATAGTTTTCTGCTCTTCTGGTAAGTTAAGCTGATTTACAAAAACACTCAACAAGTGCCAGAGCCTCGGTGACAGAGGGGGAGGCTGCACAGCCAGAAAAGCAGGGCAGCCAAAAGGCACAGAGAAGCAGCATAAAAGGAGGGAGCAAGAAGCTCCCCTTTTTTTTGATACCCAGCTCACCTACCCAGAGAAGCACAGCACTCACGTGCTGAATAATCTGTGCCACATGCACGCTTCCCCACAGAAATGTGTGACATCTTTTCAGTCTGTTTCTTTTGGGCTAGCTCTCAAGCGCATCTCCAAATGTTTTCTTGCAAGGGCAGGCTTTCCTTATGGTGCTCAACCACCAGTTATGTCTGAAGTCTTTGCATCCATTTGGCAAAATTAATTCTGTTCAGTGACTGCATCATTCTGGAGATTGACAGAGGCCAAAATAAGCTTACCGTCTGGGACAGCTGGTGCTTGGTTCACCAGTAGGAGAGGTGTGACTGTCAGACCTGATCTCTTGGTTTTGAATTCCTATTTGGGGATTAAACCCCACTGCAGAAGGAATAAGGCGTACGTCAGGGTGGCAACCCCAGGCAAAGTGGAAATTGAAAGTGAGGAAATGGAGAAGAAAGGAAGAACAAAGAGGTATTAGGTTGGACAAAGGATAACACTTCACGAAGTGTTGACTTTATATTCAGTTCAGGTTTTAGTGATGAGTTTGGAAAGGCCCAAATGTCCTGTAAACAGCCCACAAAGGCAGCTCTCTTCTTTTAAATACACGATTGGCAGGGGTCCCACACCAGCTGATGCCTGTCCCCAGTGACATCCCCAGGGACTTTGCAGCTTTCCATGTCTGGCTCCTGGTACACCAGAAGGACCTGCTCATCGGAGCTGGTCTTCAAACAGCCACATAGCCAGGTTCCCTGAGGATGGTCGAAGAAAGGACTTTGGGCTCCAGTGTTCTGACAAAGTCCAAGTGACAAAACTGCATTTGGGTTCTACTTGGCAGCTTATTTGTACTCTGCACGTGGATGGTGTTGAGAGTTTTCTGCCCAGCAAAAAAAACAGGGTTTTCTCCCAGCAGCATTCAGGGGTTCAGTACATAGGGTGTATGGTCTTCACAGGATCAAGCTGAGCAATGGGTGTCTTTGTACATAGGATTAGTTTTCCTTCGATAATACTCTAAACATCCTTGAAACAGAGGGAAATGTCTAAGTGCATTCTCCATTCCTCTTTCAGTGACCCTGTACAACTGCTCTTATGGGCGAAGTGACTGCAGTCTGTGCCTCGCGGCCCATCAAGACTACAAGTGTGTCTGGTGTGAAGAAGATGGCAAGCCGAGCAAGTGTGTGTATGACAAGTTCTGTCATGCTCGTCCCGCTGTCACATGTCCTCCTCCGGAAATCACTCGTGTAAGATAGCTTTTGTTCTTCACCCTCCCAGTGCATTATTTTTCAGCAGAAAGCATCCAAACAAGCTCATACTGAAAGGCATTTTTTTCTTTTTTTCTTTTCCTGGGGTGTTAAGTAAGCCTCTGAAATAGCTGTATGGAAATAATGCCAGTAGTGATGTGTGCGAGAGATTTAGAAAGAGTCACAATAAAAGAGACTGAATGGAGTCTTTGAGACTCACTGTTTTTTAAGCCATGGCCTCACTGTGCTATAAGCCAGGCTAGCAGCATACCCTTAAACATGGCACTTGAAGCTTGGGAATAAGCATGGGCTTTTCTTCTCTCCCAAAGTCTGTTCTACCTGAAATAAGTCTATAAAAGAGGATCACCATGCATTCCACTGCAAACACTTAGCAGGCTCACTAACAGGCCTCAAACTAGACTTTATAAATAGCATTTAATAAGAGAGCTGCTGCTTTCTGCAGCACAATTTGCTTTCCGGGTGTCAGTGATACTGCCCAGTCCCAACCGGGATGCAGCCCAAGGCTGTAGAAGTTGGATGTGAGAAATCAGAGGGGCCCAATGCACAGCTCTTACTGGGCAGTGGGTCTGCGGTGTGAGCATCCCCCTGGGGTGAAGGAAGAGCCTTGCTCCACCCTGGGGAACCAGCAGCCAAAGCAAGAAGTGATAAACTCTCATCTGCTTTTAGCAGTTGCCTTTTGGCAACAAACCAAATGCTGTTTTTCTGGGCATAACATCCTAGAAAACAGTCTAGATACATACTTCCACTGATCCCATATAAATTACTGAGACAGGGGCATCAGTATGTCGAAACCCACACACACCATTTGATAAGGACATATCCCCAGCTATCACAAAATGCAGTAGTGATATGACAGAGGCCGAGAGTCGTAACAGGGATATTTCACTCCAATCAGATCGTTAACAGTTTAAGTCTGAAACCTGTGCCTCGTGCTGGCAGAGACACGATGAATCTCTCCTGAGGCTATGCAGCTAGAAGTACAGTGTGGGTACAGCCAGAATGGCAGCACGATGGGTGAAATTGGCTGTGACGCTATTTTTGGGAAGAAATGGCTGGTAAATATTTGAAGTCTGCCAAGGAAGGTAGATTTCCCGAAATCTTGACAGAAAGTGTAGAGAAGAATTCTTATATAATGCCCTTATCAAGATGATGTGAGTGGGAAGGAAAAGAAAAACAAAGGAATCTAAGAGTGATACTGTTTGTACATGATTACAGGTTAAATACTAACAATGTTGTGATATATTAGTTTTTTCAAGGCTTTTGTTAGGTTCAAATTTGAACAAATATTTGGAAACAGCTACAGACACTGCTGAGTCATTTTTCAGCTACTTTATTTATGCGAGCGCAAAGAGATGGCCACAGGCAAAGGATCCAGTTTTAGTAATTTAGTAATTTAGAAACAGGGGGAAAATCGAACAAGTGATTCTGGAGCTGAACTGGTCAGCAGGCAACAGCAGCAGTCCTGTGCCTGTGCTCAGACTTGCTTAGGAGGTAGATCTAAGACACTAACATCCAGACTTTCAGAAGATGAATTTGTTTGGCTTCCAGTTGCTCAATCTGGGACTGTGCAGTCTCCCTCTTCCAGGTAATAAATTTACAGCTCTCCAAAGCTGAGCACCTGAAAAGGTCTCAGTGGAAGTGCTCCATACATTAAGCAGCAAATCAGGTTAATATCCCCCAAAAATATTTAGAATTATTTAGAATAACAGAGTATTTGAATTTAAAAATCATATTTTAACCTCAGAAGTCCTTTTCAGGTACTTCAAGGATTTTTTCAGTCCTCATTTTATTCACAAAGTACCCATGTACTGCAGCACCCTACCAGCTGATGCAGTAAGGAAGACAAGGGGACTAAAGAAATTTTTGAAGAAGTTGTTTGGGGCATCGCTTTGTGTTTATAATGTGCACTGTTTGGTTGTGAACCTAAAAGGAGAAAAACATGTCAAAAACAACCAAAAAAAAAAAAGCTGGAAAAGTTCAGTGGGATGGTTATGAGGGAAGCTTGTTCAATTTGCTTGTCAAAATCCCAGTGCTTTTGTGGAGGAAGCAAACATAAAACAGAATAAACATCGGGCAAGAATTTTGTACGTTATAGTCTGCCACAGCAGACATGAAATCTGCAGCTGATGAATACTGGTTATGGGCTCACAAATGACTCATTAGCATTAAAAAGTTAGGGTACATAGCAAGTTTTTATGCAGGTCCTACAGGAAACATCTTTTTCCTTTTAAGTGCTGGTAAGTCTAAGTAGCTTTAAATAATATGGAAGAGCAACATGGTCACTGCAATATTTAATTTTGATTTTTATTTTTTTTTTAATTTCCCTCATGCAAACACAGATTGAGCCAAAAACTGGACCACTAAGTGGTGGAATTCTTTTGACCATAATGGGATCTAATTTGGGAATAAAAGCAGAAGATGTAAACAATATAACGGTGGCAGACAAGGAATGTATTTTCAAAGAAGAGTTCTACTCTGTTTCCACAAGGTAATCACTGGACATTTTTCATAAGATTTTAGACACCCTCCAGAAAGAAACCTCTGTGCATCTTCAGGAGAATAAGACATTCCTGTGGTAATAAGAAATTATCAAGAGGAGAAAAAACTAGTGCAGTATATGTGCAATATTTCATACTAAGATGTCCAAGTTTTTATTTAAAATTGTTATAGATTCTTATACAGCAACAAATTTATGATAGCATGCTACCCTCTTGCTTCTGATTGATTGACTTTTTTTATTTGTTTGAAAACCTTTCATAAACTATTACTGCAGATGTCTGAAAACTATTTATGAGTTTTTAAATTAAAGGCATTGTAGGTGTGCATCTAGCCATTAAAATCTTTGCTAAATCTCAACCGCAGTGCAGCCAAGCATACAAGATTTATGGGAAAGTAGGCAAAGCAAGAGGAAGCTTAATTCTTTTTGTTACAGTCCAGCCACAAAGTTTCTTTCCTGGGGGTAGGGAGGGAGCCCTGAGTTTTGGTTTAGCTTTAAATGACTAAGTTTCATCGCAGAGCCAACAAGCCCATGGATGTTGAGTTGCCTAAGCAGGTTGGTAGCTGTTTTGTGGATTACTTGTCACACTCTTAAGCAGTGCCAAAAGTAAAAACAAGGAGCCTAAATTCTTCTAGGTGTCTAGGTGTTTACTACAGATTATATCGAGCATCTAATTTCAAGAGGGAATTACCCTTTTGATACTTGCTGATAAAAAGCATAGCATAAAAGTTCAGTAGTAACGTTAATAGTAATGATGTATTTTAAGCAGTGTGATTTTTCTTCCATTCACTTTTGATATTTAAAACAGAAATTGAAACCTTGGCTTTCTCTCCCTTTGGTTATTTTAAAGTTTAGCACAGCAACTCTTTGCTATTTCTGTGGCTTGTTTTGAAAGAGATTTTAAAGGTGCCTAAGTGATTTTGCTTTAGCTTTTGAAGAAGCTTTGGTTTTAGTCAGTTTGTAGATCGTGCATTTAGCAGCTTCTTGGGCCCCTGGGACCCAGAAGTATATATACAGTTGTGTATCTCCTGCTACTTACCAAATCTATCACCAGCACTCCCTTTTACACAAGCATCACTACCCAGAAAATTCCCAACTCCCTTTTAGCCCTCTTTCCCCATTCCCTATTTTCAGTGTTGCAAAAGCTGCATTGAATCCCAGTGTAGCCTTACAAGAATTTCCCCAGCCTCTTGTTGTTTTTTTTTTTTTTTTCTAAAGCTTTTTGGTATTTTTAAATACATGGAAAGGAGCCAGAACTGAGATGACTGGCTCCTTGTATCATAGCAACATTACTGGTTTCCTAAGCTCTGCCAGTGTGGTAATGGGTGAGAACAAATGCAACTTGCATAATGTAATTTACCAACAAATTAGGGGGTTTTGAAGGATGTTCTCCATTAGGGAAGCCCTGAAAAAGAAGTGATTCAGAATCTTTAAATGGATATCTATAATTTTGCATCTTTATCTTCTTCCATTCTTTTGTTTTATTATTACCTTTTTTATTTAATTAAAAAAAAATAAAAAGAAGAAAAAGAAGAAGAAACACCTAGTGTTGCTGCCCTGTCTTTCCTGCAGTAAAAAGCCAGTCATTTTTAGGAGGTGTTTCTCCAGGAGTGGAAGGACAGCAAGCTTTATGGCATTGAAGGCTGCTCACTGGCTCTGCTGTGATTTCACTGTCAGCCTTACAGAAGTTGCATCCTCATCCGTTGTAGTTTTCCACTTGTAACGTGGGGGAAGGGAGGCAGTGCCAGTGCCGGGGAGGGGAGGGAGGGAGCTTTTCTCAATTAAAATCCTGCAAACCACGCTGCCGCGCTCCCCCCCACACACCCCAACCCTGGCCCCCGACTGCTTTCCCTAGCTTGACATATGGTAGAAATTCCTCCAAAGGCACCGTTTCCTGTTTCTGCCTGACAAGAAGATACAACTTCCAAGAATACAGTAGAGATGATGAGGAACAGACTCAGGCGGCCGTACACATGCTAGGACATGCAAGAATTCAGAGAATTTGCCAGTACCCAGGCAGAAAATTCTGGAGTGATCTGCGAGGGGACTTGACAATCCTTTTATTATAAGTCCCAATTTAAGTACATTATGCTCTGTAATTTGGGGCTGAGTTGTTTTTTTCTTTTTTTTTTTTTTTTTTTTTTTTGTAAGCAGTTGTGCATTGATTACAGAAGAGCAATAATCCAAGGGGAGAAAGAATGAAGAAAACGAACAGTGATTCCTAGGGTGTGTCCTGCAGGAAACTGCCTGTGCACGCTGCAGACGTTATGTGCATCCTTAGCCGACTGTATTAGCAGCTCACCGTTAAGCATTTGTCCCACTTTTCAAGTGTGTCGAATCCTTGTTGCATTTTCATGCTTATATTCTGCAGGTCACCTGTTGGAAACGTAAATTCAGACCTTGCAGCTAGCCCTCAGTGGCAGTGGGGGTTAACGCGGGATGTTTTCTCCTCCACTGTTCCTTGACCTCTGATTTTGTGTGGGTTATCTGAGGATTTATTTTCAGAGAACAGTAATTCTGAAGGGATTTTGATCGTAGGTGTGAAAATGCAGTAGCTTAAAGCTGGGAGATAGCAGGATGTGCAACAAAAGTATTAGCAGCTGAAATACACAAAGGTATAAGATAGCTGATTGATTCCTGCATCAAAGTAGGGGAGGAAAGGATTCTTTGGTTTTTTTGTTTGTTTTTTTTGACACATCCAGGTACAGTGAAAACCTTGTGTAGGTTTGGGTAGTTTTCTCTATGATTTCTGGACTGAATTTGAGTCTTCTGCTAAGAAGTCTGCTAGGTAGCTGCTGTACACATTGCTCAGGTTTGACTTTTACTCCATGTAGATACAAGATTAAAATATTCTTGCGTGGTTTTGGTGGGAATCTGAGCCAGAATTCATGTACCTTGTATAGGATAAAGCAATGTTTGTGCTTTGGCTGACAGTATGCGTGGTAGCTAACATACCTTGGATTTGTATTGCAGCTGCTAGTGCTAACAGATAAACTTGCATTGCTATTTCCCGCTAGGATTGTGTGTCAAGTCGGAAGAATGGATGAACCTACACAAGGTCAAATTGAAGTTAACATCAATGGAAAATTAGGTATATCACCAAGCGAAGTGCAGTTTACATACCAGGTAAGTGCATTTTTTGCATTGACCCGTTTTGTACTTTGCGCATGACTTAAATTCAAAGTTTACAAGTTATGAACACAAGCACAGCCGCTTGTGTTTGCCTTACAAACTTTGTTTAATCAATAACACTGTAGTTTAAGCATGTTAGAAAACACTTAAGTTGAAAAGATGTGGTAGAAAAGAAATGTTAATCAACTTACTCAGCAGTGACACTATCTCATAAGTGTCACTAGTGAATAAAAACAAGTCAGCACTGGAAAAAAATAGATTTTCTTTAGACACAGTTATTGCACTGTTTTAATCACTGTGCTTAGACTAGCCAGTGCTCTTAATTGCAAGAATTAATGCACAGCAGCTGAAGAATGAGTAATGAAGGTGCATTAATTTTTTTTAATAATTTATTTCATTCAAAAAGATGGCATGCAGAGACACAGACAGCATGATGTGGATTTATATTACAGATGTGCTTTGTTTTCAGTGTCACAGTGAAGGAGAATTTAATTTGTGTCTTTAATTACTTTACCCTAAATGTAGCTATGGGTTATAGCTGTTCTTGCCCGTGGTTTTAGCTGCAAGTAGCTTTATCTTTATCTATGAAGTCTTCAAAATTTATAAGAATCTGCGATAGCTGAGAGGTTTAACTAATCTCTATCCTCATCTTGATATTTAAAATTATATCTATAAACTGTAAATCTATAAAACGTAAAGGGTGTGTTACAGTTTTATCTTCTCCCATATTTTAACTTCTGTCTCATTAATTCTTGATTTTCTGTGAGAAGGAAGGGAGTCAGCAGTAAGAGGTGGAATAAGTCAAGAATGACATTCAGCTGAGAAGAGGATATTCTTGTTTTCACAAAACAGTGTTTTTTTCCATTATTTTCAGGCAAATATCTCCTTTCCCTTGTGGTATCTCTGCAAAAGCACGCATTTTGCTTGAAAATGATCTTTTACTGTCACAACCTTCCTTTGCTCCTTTGTGGAAATGTAGGTTATAATTAAGTCTTCCTTTGTCAATCATCTTATGTGTCTTAACCAGAGCAGGAAATGTGCAGAAACATCAAGTCCCATGTTTGTGTGCTTGTGATCTCTATGACAGAGGCTATGATGTTATGTTGGTGTGTTTTACACCAGTTCTCCTATACTTCTCCTGCATATATAGATTCTCTCACGGTTTGCATGAAAACCACATGAAGAAGTTACAGAGTGTACTGAAATGTAGTGTGAAGCCTCCATGTAGGCTTAGAAGACCTCTCTGTGACCTTGTTCTGATGGGGTTCCCTGCTTAACACGTCTGAGATGAGATGAGATCAGCAGCGCTGCTTTTGCTGCTTAAGGAAAAGGTTATTGAATGCCTGACAGGCTCAGGGAGAAGCTGTCATGCACGGACATCATCCAGGTGGACATTTTCATGAAAGTCCAAGACTTCCTCTGTGCCAGTCTCTGAATCAGTGAAAAATCAGACACCTAAGCCAGCTGCTGCTAAAAGGCATTTTTATTTACTTCAAAAATCTTTCCATGGGGACTTTCTTTATAGAATGTAAAGCAATGGCAAGTAATACAGAATCATCAAGCACAGCAGTTTGTGCCTTAAAACTGGTGAAATTGGTTTCTAGTTTCATTTCTCTTACTTTTTGTTCCATGAGAAAATAAAGCCAGCTATGGACTGTGGTAGGATTAAAATCAGTGCAGGCTGTCACATTCACACTCACCTCTGCAAGCGTGACCCGAGCACTTTTGGCATCAGAACAGGCTATCAGAGAGCCAATCCAGTCGGTTGGTGTTGTTTTAAAATTTAGACTCTCGTTTCAATGTTGTTTTCAGGCAGTTCCTTGATGGCTTATTTCAGGAGATGTAAGAAATCTGTGCTTTATACAATAATTCTGCTATTCAATCTATAGAAAAGAAAGAAAACACTCCTCTTTCCAATAACCTTCCTAAAATATGTCTCCTATTACATATTTTCCCCTTGCTTTGGCACATTATCTGGCTATGCTGCTGCTGGTAAAAATCACAGTTTTTACTGTGTGCTTTGATCACCCTTAACACTATAGCTTTGGCTTTAGCAGTGCCTATTTTAAATGCAGTGTGTGGCAGCACTGTGCAGAAGTGTACAAACAACACACAAGGAGACAAGGATCTGCTCGGCCTGATGTGTCTATGGAGAGCAGAAGTGTCACCGTACTCCCCACAGTTTGGGGTCATACATGTGGCTAGCGGCTGCCACCAAGAGCACATGGACAGTTATCAAGTACTACTACATTTGGCCATGGTCGATACCCAGCCTGAGTGACGGGTGTGTTTTTAAAGCTGGATTGATGAGGATCAGCAGTCAGCACAGCTCAGGGCTTAGACTCGTGCTTCTGCCCCATTCTGCCAGCACAGCGCATTTCTGAGGCAAGGAACAGGTGAGACTTCCTCTAGGTGGGTCAAAAACCCAGTCAGAAAGGATTTCAGTTTAAAATCGTTTCTGAACTAAAATGCCCTGGTCCACAAGAGTCTATGCTGCGTAGTAAACATCTTATCTATATTTGCTGCACAATGGGAAGAGAGTTCTACATCGCCATCACAAATTTCTTCTATCCATTCTGTGCGGTGTTCAAGTCCAGACATTCCAGCGAAATTAAATTCTGGTAACCTTGTCCTCTTCCACTGACCTTTCTGTTGTTTGTTTCACTATAAGCAGAATTGGGCATTCTCCTTTTTATTGAAATAGAAATGAATTGATGCTAAATGTTAATATCCAGCTATGCAGTACCTCTAACAGCTTGGCTGGTCTCTACGCAGGTGGAGCCATGGCATGGCTAAAAGCCAGTTTTTTTTTTGTTCAATTGATTTGTTTGCTACTACGGCAGTGAGAACAGTGTTGAAGGTGGGAATTAAGCTTTTCTTAGGTGTATGGCCCAGGCTGGCTGATACCATACAAGCATGATTCTTTCCTCAGATCTCATCTTCAAACTCAAGCCACCAGAATAAGAGCTCACAGCTGGCTCTGGTTCTTCAGTGTCTGTTTGCAAGAGCAGTTCTGTGAGCTTTAGTCTGAGTGGATTGAAGACATTATATGGTTTCAGAAAGCTCAAATAAATGTAAGAAAGGGGGACAAATTAGAGTCTGATCCGAAAACAAACACAAAGGTGACTACTCACCATACTGGGAGTTTGAGTAACCTGATCTGCACAGTTGGATTTAACGAGGTACATTCTTCCACTTTAATATTCTCACAAGTTGGCATTTTCCTCTTATCTTCATCCATCCTCTGTTTCCCTTCTTGATGTTAGAAGCAATTGCTCAGGGAGCTCTCACTGCCACAGCGCTATTAGTGCCACCAGGCTCTCATGGAGGATTTTAGCTCACTGCTTGATTCTTCTCCGTGAGTCTTCACCATAGCACATAGATTTTATAGTGTAGCTTGTGGGGGGGGGAGTTTACATGGCTTGTTGCCATTATGATTGATGCTTATAAACCACACATCCACAGCAGTCTGGAATTGCTGCCAGAGGGCAGTGGCTGTTTTATCCTTGAGTTCTGGAGCACATCTTGTTTGTGCATCAGCCTGCACAGCAGTCAGGAGAGCTCCTGGGTAGCTCACAGTTTTCAGTAAGAAGGCCCTTCCTCACATGAATATTATTAGACTTAATTCTCTATCATCTTAGACATCGCTTAAATACATGTCCCACCATTCAGTGTTTGTGGGTTCTGCTCGAAAGCTGCCAGCAAACACTGGGTGTATGATAACGCAGGCTTTCCAGTCACGCATGCTTCCCTTTCTCCATGAAAACTGTCAGCAAGGCTCTGTGGTCTGTTCAGAAAATGATGTGCTCTCTGCCTCAGGATAAAAAGAGGCAGAGATCTCTGCCTGCAGTCCAAAAACTTAGTTGTTTAGAATATCAACGCTCTGCGTAGGCATCCCATCCACAGCAGGCAGCAGACACTACAGAGAGGAGTGTGCACTGCCCGGCAAATGCTTTGCCTTCACACCTGGAGCGGATGTAAGCATTTGGGCTGACCTGTGAGGGTGAGAAGAAGCAGCTCCATAGGGGCAGGACCTGGCCAGAAGTAGCCCAGGAGATGAATCCTGGCTGGCGCTGTGCCTGGGACTTCTCCAGTGAGGCGAGCCAGGGAGTCAGGTCAGCCACCGCAGCAAGCACCGGGCCGCCAATGTGCGCCATGGAAATTCTGTCTGAGCACTCTGTGAGGGGGCGGCATGTCTGAAGAAACAAGCAGCAGGCTCCCCCGAGTCTGAGAAAGGAGGGGAGCGGAGGGAAAGAGCAGTTCCTAATGGTTTGTGTGCCCTGGTCAAAGGCTTAATTTAGCTCCTGTGGTTACCTTTATAGGCCATGAGATGATATTTTGACCTTCAAGAATGTGGCCAGTGCCTACAGCACTTCATGGACTGTGCTTTTAATGCCTTAATTTTTGTCTGCATTATATGCAAGGGTTGGCAGAATAATTCAACTTTGGATGGGGTGGGGGTGGATAATTTTGGAAACAAATAAAGTTGTTTTGCAGGCCTACTTCAAGAGCCAGAGCTTAGTGCAGCTGGGATCAGGGTGAAGAAAGAGAAAGAATACTTGTTGGGGAAGGGACGAATGAGAGAAAGGCAGAGTAGTCATGTGCCCTCTACAGGTTTGAAAGCCTTAGCCACATATATGTGTGCACTGTCATCAGGTCCTTGGCACTGCATCCCTGTGCTCTGCTTGTGTGGAAGCACAGGAGCACATTCGTACTAGTGGATGTGTGCTTATATCAAAGGCAAAACCCCCAGCCAGAGGTCACTGCCTACAGGGGCTGGCAGGAGGGAGCTTCGGGGTTTTACCATTTGCTGCCCATCGCGTCCATTTGAGCACATCCATCTGTTGCTGGCTTCCCCTTGTGCTGCAGCTGGCATCTCTCACAGCATCATGGGGATGTGCTCTGCCACCATCCTCTTTTCTCTCCCCAGTTGTCTCTGCTTGTGGTCTGGCATGGTTGCTTTTTCTCCTCTGAAGCACAGACGTTATGCCAAG